TGAGGCGGAGATCGGAGACAATAGGCTGTGATTACTTTGGACACCCCAGACAGAAAGACAAGAGCATGAAAGACGTAAAATAGAGCATTAATATTTGTGTAAGTGAGGCAGGGAGCGGTGCAAAAGGAGAGGAATATGCTCTGTCGCAGGCTGCTGTTTGAGTCCATGTTCACCCCCCGTGGACGAGTAGACGAGCCCCTCGAACTGTTTGAAAATGTGATGGGAGTCTTGTAATGTGTGTATTATATATGCACATCCATAATTACATTCCCCCTGACCACTCAAAAGTCTGTATGTGCGCTTGAATGTCTGTGCGTGTGTGTGTGTGTGTGTGTGTGTGTGTGTGTGTTGTGTGTGTGTGTGTGTGTGTGTGTGTGTGTGTGCGTTTTCAACCTAATTGTTTCCTAATCTGATGTGTTTTTGCAGCGGGAGTATCATCCGTGCTCGTGTGTGCATTTAGTGAGATGGCAAACATCAAAGTGGAGCAGTGGGAGACTATTAAACACATATACGCCCTCACACACACACACACTCACACACACACCCACACACACACAACACACACCACACACACAACACACACACACACACACACACGCACACCACACACACCACACACAACACACACAACACGCGCGCACACCACACACACCACACACGCGCGCACACACACACACACACGCACACGCACGCACATAAGCACGGCACTGTGTTGCTGCAGGGGTTTCTATTGCATCAGAAGAGGATGCGAGACTCCCCGAGAGGAAGAGGAGCAGGAACCAATCCTGCACGAGCTGCAGACTAGCAACAAATAAAGACGAGTGTTTGGGGAAGAAAAAGGGCAGTGTGTGTGTGTCACTCATACTATAAAAAAAACAGGCAGGTGTGATTAATTAGCCGTTTTAATCTGCCTGTATAAGTGAGTATGAACGGACATGAACATCTGCTTCTTGTTGTTTTGTTCCAATATCTGTCTCTAGTCCGTCTACAAACCCCCCAATGATGAGAAAAGTCCATCCTCGCCGTCTTCTGCCTGCTCCACTTTTCAGAAAATGTGTGCTCAAACAGGCCGTTTAGAGATTTTCCCTTCATGACATCACAAAGAGCAGTAGCCCCTCCCCCAGGTGGGTGACACTCCCACAGCTAGGTGTTTGTTCTGCCCTCTGAGTCTGCCTTCTCACCATAAACAATAGGACATGGAGAGAGAAAGCACCGAGTACACCCAAGCCCTTCCAGAGAGGGGGTGTGGTCAGACACAGCTCATTTACATATTTAAAGGTACAGACACAGAAACAGTCTGTTCTGAGCAGGGCTGAAATAGAGGGGTTTATAGACATGATCAAATACAGGATCAGAGTGGATTCAGAACAAGAAACTTCACAAACATGTTTTGAGGAGCTCTGTTCTGAGCAGGGCTGAAATAGAGGGGTTTATAGACATGATCAAATACAGGATCAGAGTGGATTCAGAACAAGAAACTTCACAAACATGTTTTGAGGAGCTCTGAGACTTACTTAAACTGGTGCCAATGTCAATAATGTGAGTTTTCAAGTTTTAAGCAGACTTCATATTAAGACAAACGGATTATTGCTGGTTTTGGTCTTCTGATGGGATTTGTGGAGGATAAGAACAATCTGGAAAATAAGCCTCATCTTTTAACATTCAGCAAAAGCACACATCGTAAAATATTCATCAAACATTTTATGTTTCGTTTCATCCTAAAGCAGCAGCTCTACCATTGTTCCATTTCAGAGACTCCTTCAGCCGTGTTCATATTTGCCGGATCAGCAGAAGGTATGCAAAGAGCCTTTCACAATATCAACTCATTTTGTGGTTAAGTCGCTATAAGCTGCAGTAAGTGCTTAGGTTAGCACATGCACGGGGTACAGACTCCTTCCAGCTACATGGACGTGAGGGTCAAAGGGTCTGATGAGGGAATAGATTCATCCCAGCCTTTTGTTGCTCCTGACAGAGTTTATATTAGTTTGTCGAGCTGAGACAGAGTCACTGACGGAGGAATTCTGGATCACATTCACACATGTTTCATTTGACGAGCTGAGATGTTAGCCTCGTATCCAAAATGTCAACTCCCCTCGACAGAGAGTGTGTTCACATGGACTTGAGTAACCCGGTTTTGAGTCTCATCCTGGTTCTGATTATATTCAGGATGTGGAGTTTACAAGCACACAGAGAAACCTGGTTACTTATATCCCTGTGGACATGATAACTACCAGTAGCCTATCCTGGTTTCTTATTTGTGCACACATTATTTTTTACAACACAAAGCACAGCAATTTTCAAATCTGAGAAAAAATGAGACCACTGTGGCTCACCGGCTACAGATCGTGTCTTGTACCCATATCCTCTATGCTCCATGTCTGCTGGGGTAAAAACGATTTCAAATATAAAACATGACGCTTCATGCAATCACTCAGCACTGGCTGGAGAAAAACGCTAGCCGGATACAGGGCCTTAATCATAATCTCTCAGTAACCTTGTCTTAATGTGCAGATTACTCCAGTGGCCCTTTCTGTGGGGACAATCTCTTCATTTGAAAGAAGCTCCAACAATTCTACAATTCAGTAAGTACAATACTAATCATTTCATACACCACCACCAAAGCAGTGGGAGCAATGCAGGGATGAGTATCTTGCCCAGGGACACATCGGACATGTTGCAGCTGGGGATCAAACCCTCGACCTTCCAGTTGAGAGGCGACAACTCTACAAACTGAGCCACAGCCGCCTCCAACAAAACCTCAACAGCTCAGGAAATCTAGGAGGGATTCATTTAAACATTTCAATATGGTTTGACCTTTGTTCTTTACTCTTTTTTGGGTTGACCGTCTGTTTAAACATGAACTCAGACGCCCCCATCACTCAAACTAAAAGGAACAATTTCATTGTCACTTTCAATGATCTACATTCCTGCTTGACTTGGCTTCACCCACGTTTTCCAGCAGCTTTGGCGACACTAGGTTCAAAATAATCTGCTCTTAAATGATGATGATCAAGCCGTGTGTAGTGTGAACTTTCTCTGTGCATTATTATATTTAACGCCATGGGAGTGCATTTCATCATTTTGGAAACTAGAAAGCAGTTGGTAGAGCTGTTAGAGAGCGGTTATAGCATGGCGCTGCCAGTGACAGTGATGACTGTTACTCCACATTTCAGATTGACTCATGCATTTTGCATTTCACACTATTTACGTTCCGGACCGTGCCAGTGCATGGTGAAAAGTCTGACTCTGAGTGAAGATGAGGTTTCATTTTGGTGGTAGCTGTCAGTGTCGGCACACTTTCAGAGGAAAACCGAGTGGTGCAGAAATCCTGGAGGCGAACCATGTGTTTGTCACAGCGTGGGCTTAAATTTGGCTCTTGAAATTTGCTGCATGCCAACTAATCCCCTCTCTCACATTTCCTGTCACTAGGTAAAGTAAACGCCGTCATACAGTACAGATTACATTAATATTACCTGCAGAAATAAGAGGGCATGAATAATCTCTCCCCACACAGCACTTTCACAGCCGTCTACATTACTGCACTTGGGAGTGTTCAGAAGCTCTCCTGCAGCTAATCAAATATGAACCCAGGTGTAACTGGCCCGCTGCGGGAAGTAGGGAAACTTGCAAGTGAGGCACATTACAGTAAGTGCAACTTTAAACCTGCGCTTAGATTGTTATAAAAATAAAAAAACGTGTGCAGGCTGCTTAAGAAGCACATGCAGAATTTAGAGGCAGGGATCTCTGATGATGCTAGAAGAGGATTTATACATCATCATGAGGGAAACATTAAGGTGTGGAGCAGATCTAGTAAATCCATTCATCAATAGTGGATGAGTCATTTTACAACAATAGAGTGAAGAGTCAACATCATGGTGGTGTCGTAGGAGGAAATAAGAGGATAACCAAAGTCACTGAAACAATGTTATGCAAATGAATCAACTAGATATAAAGATATTTTAAAAAAGCTTTGACTTCCTGGTGGTGTAGGGAACCTAAAAAATGTATAAACACATCATATCAATACATCATAGATCCAGTCTGTCCTGTGTAAATGTGTCTCTGAGTCATGACTGTCTACAATGAGGGAGAAGCTCGAGTCCTGCTGGCTGTGTTGTTGTCAGAGCCGTGTTTACATGGACGGGACGGCCGGCTCCTCCCCTTGTGTATAAAAGCTGTTTTAGTCAAGAACTAGAGAGAAGAAGAAGAACATACTCACTGATTATTTGGATGTCATGTAAATGTTTTTAAATTATCATTTTGTGTTCATTCATGTTTAATGTGAAGCTACGAGCTAACTAAAGAGCGCTAACATTAGCATGCTAACACAACAATGCAGGACACAGGTGACTGCAGCTCGAGCAGAGGAGAATTTTGTCCGAGACGAGGTGTATGAGAGGCTTAACAGTCTCGCCTTGGACAGGCACTGTAACAGGATCTTATTTAAATCTCAGGTGTAATGATCTCAGGTGTGAACAGACATGGATACAGAGTTTAGGAAGCAGAGCTCTAACCAGCTGCTCTCCTGCTAAACTAGACCACACAATGTACTTAACACAGCAGCTGGACAATAACACCTCCTTTTGCAGAACAAGAGCCCATTTTGTCTGATAATTACAATAACTATACTTGGTCTGACACATGAGAAAGTGGCATCGCTGAGTTCTAAGTGCTCATTTGGACAGAAATCTAAAGTGATTGGCTCAAATTAAACACGGCACACGAGACTCTGGAACTTTTTTTTCTCTGACAATCAATCTGAGTTAAAGAGTTTGTGTTCTTGCTGAGAAAGAAATGTCACACTATGCAGTGTGAGAGTGAGCTAAGAGAGTTAAAAAGAGAAGTGTGCGCCAACATGTGACCGACACTGAAAGCGACGGAGGGAAAATAAAGGGCGAGCAGGCATGCAAAGACACAATGGAAAGTTATCCTATTAGAGACAAATCCACACAGAGGGACAGATTTACGCTGAAACACAAACACACAATATTGGCACTGACCTTGAAGCTCCAGTAGTTTGGTTGTTGCTATGAGGGGGGAAAGAAAAACAAAAGAGTAAAGGAGACAGAGAAGAGAGACAGGGAGGGGGGAGAGAGGGGAGACAGAGCCGAGTGTGAGACATTTTCTTGCAGGATAAAAGAGCAAGCAAAAGAACGGCTGGAGACGACTGAAAGAACTTTTGAGTCAGTCGGCTCCGATGTCAAGACATGTTTGTGAAACCCCAGAGCTGCTAATAAAGTTTTACAGGTGCATTATTCACATGCAGCGTGTGTGACATGCCCTTAAAATGTCTCACCACTTTGCATAAATTACCACAAATGGTTGCAAACCCGAAGCAAACAAATAAATATCTTGTTTTTTTGTACATGAGGGCCGGGTGAGAAAAATGAAGAGCTAATTACGATGATGATAGCCAGATTAACTTGCGTTGTCCTTCACTGCCATCATAATAGAACTTTAATTGCTTGTAATTGCCTCTCAGCAATTAATCAAATGTTTACAGTGCCTACACACGCACTAATGATGTAGACGCAGCAGCTCCTAAACGCTACCCCTCACTCTCCCTCGATGCAGAGTTGGCGTGCTGGCTGGCGAGGACCCAGGAGCGGGATTAAAGCAAAGCACAGACACTGGATGAAGAAGCTGCCATTTTTACTTTATCAGGGAAGGAGCCGAACATTCAGGTCGACGTCGTTCTGATTCTCTGCGTAACAGCGACTGAGGCTGTGTGTTCGCTCATCTGTGACGTTCAGTCGATTGCACAATAATTACGTTTAGGTTCTTATGGGGCGCTTTATCGTTCAAAATAAGTCCTACTTCCTTTTTAGTTTTGTTTTGTGAAGGTTTGGTTGGATGCAACTGACGTATTCTGGACAACTCCCCCCTCCCTTCAAACACCAATCACAGCTAAGTGTAAACTCTGAATAAGCTCAGACGTCTTTCGACTCTAATTCTTTGGTTTCAAAGTGCAGACATCAACAGGATTTTAAACGATATCATGCAAAAAAAACAAAAAAAAAACACAAAAACTGCATCCTTTAAAACCAAGGATGCAATAGAACACAGTAAGGATACTGGCTTCATGACACAATACTAGTGTTGTAGTCAAGACCACACTAACTGAGACTAGAGTGCTCTGAGACCGAGACAAGACCAACACATTTAGGGGTCGAGATAAGAGTCAAGACCAAGACCATAAGGTGTTTCCTTCTAATCACAGAAATGACGTGGAACAATCAGTGCTGGTCTTGACCAGTCTTGATTTAAAATCTGGAGACCGCCCAGTCTGAGACCGAGACAAGACCGACTAAAAATTCTTTTGATTCCGAGATGAGACATTCAAAAAGTAGACTTCAAGTACTTCAACACTACACGATCGTATCCCGACTTTGTACAATTTTATAAAGAAATGAAATGAAAGTCTATTTTGAAGTTTATAAATACATGTTTCAGTTACAAACATCGAGCAAGAGAAGCGAAAACCAGAGAGCTCCCCCTGGTGGTTAACAAAAAAATAACACAGTATACTATTTCAGAAGAGTCCTGACCCACTAGGATCGAGTCAAAAAGAATACAGTTAGTTTATAATATAATTTATAATAATGTATAATATCATTGTTTTTGGATCTATTGCACAACAATGTGAAATATCTAAACTTACTGATTGTTGGTTTTGATCTCGTCATGTGTCGATAACATGAAATATCAAATCTTTTTATCAAATCTATTTAAAATATATTAATGCTTATAAACTGAATATCAGACTTTCCCAGTTTAGGATCAATAAAGTAATTCTATTCTATTCTATTCTATCAACATACTGAAGTTTCCTCATCTTAAATAAAAGTCTCATGGTGCAGTTGAAAGCTGATCGGCCCCCGCTGAGACGATGACGAGCCTCCTCTCTTCTACTTTGTGACCTGAATGATTTTGCATAAATCTTTCGCTTATTTATCCAGTTATCCGCATCCACGATCAATTATCTGCTCAAGAATTATTGTGTTGTAAATGCCCCCCTCTCAGCGTGAAGCCCTTCTGACACTGATTTACAAAAAGCATCAATTATCTGCGGCAGGCTCAAAGACCGTCAGAGGATGGAGGGAAAACTTTACTGCTCTTGCATAGACAGATCATTTAGATGATCGATCTCCCACCTGAGGTCCAGTGCAACATAGGTTTTCCTCCTCCGTTTCAAAAAAAGAATCCTGTCCACACACGCACAGTTCTCAAAAACATCTTTGTCCACATGAAAATGCAAAACGCACTGATACAGCTGTCATGAGCACGTCAAGTCAACAACGACTAGGGATGACCCGATACTGATACCAGTATTCTGCATCGGTCCGATGCAGCCTTTAAGTACTCATACTCGTAAAACTATGCGGATACAAAGGCACGATACCACTTTATGGCGGGCGTGAGCCTCTTTACAGTTGAGCAGGTAGGCGGAGAGAAGCGAGATGTCAGCGGTGTGGAGATATTTCAGCGTAAACGATGACGACAAAAGAAGAGCAGACTGAAAACTTTGCACTCCCCAGCCTTCTGTGCGTGGCTCACACACTACAGCTAGCTGTTAACAAAGGACTTTTGGCTCAGAGGAATGTAGCTGACGCGGTGTCAGTCAGATGTAAAATTTTGGACATTTTAAGCATTCGGCATTAGCCTACTCCCGCCTGGAAGACATTCAGCTGCAGCTCAACCAGCCCGTAAGAAGACTCCAGCAAGACGTGCAGACGCGCTGGAATAGCATGTACTACTTGCTACAGTCTCTCACCGAGCAGAAGCGGGCTCTGGGAATATTTGGCTCCGAATATGAACTCCCCGACAATCTTACAGCGCACCATTGGACACTTCTGGAAAAAACTTTGTCTGTTTTGGCTCCGTTTGAGGAGTTAACCCGAAAAGTGAGCTCGTCCGATGCTTTAGCATCAGATGTAATTCCTGCTGTGACCGTGCTTCAGAGACTTTTGACCAAAGAAACAGACGCGGATCAGGGCAGTAAGTACTCGTAACGGTACTCGGTATCGGTGAGTAGCCAAATGTAAGTACTTGTACTTGGTTTGCAAAAAAGTGGTATCGGTGCATCTCTAACAACGATGCATGCACGATAAATGTTCTCCCCATTCCACTGCAATGACCATTTCATTTTCAAAGTTGTCCAACTAACGCTGACATTGGCGACGGGGTTTTCAGTCATCTGAGTGTTGTATAAATCAGCAGTGACCTCCGTCGTCCAATCAGGCGTCTCTGCTCGTCAACAGAGTGGGAGAGTAACTTTGTGTGTGTGTGTGTGTGAGCGTGTAAAAAGTCCAGTTAGCAATGTTAGCACCAGCGCTAGTTTGGTCACGTCTGCTATCACATTAATCTCATGTCAACAAAAGTGACAGCGTCGCACGATGGCGTCAAAGGGAGGAGAAACTGGCACACAGCTTGATGTTACAAGCACAAAAACAGTTTTCCCCGTCTACACAGAAACACCTTTAACTGAGCTTCTGAACATCTTCACCCTGGAAGGAGTTTTCTAAAATTCCCGCCTACATGTGGACGAGGACTCAGAAGCCAGAGCTTGTTCTTGACAACATTCCTGAGCTTAAGGATGCTTCTGTACAGAGACGGTTTCCAGGTTTTGGGTGGAAATATTTGACAGCCAGGTCCAAAAATCTTCTGTCGATCCTTCTCACAAAGTCACCTTACTGCAGTCTAAGAGCCGTCTGATGATTGCATACTTTCAACAGCCTGAACTCTTCACTTTCAGCTTCATGTCTGCTTATTTTGTAACCCACTCCAGGCTCCGTTATCGTCACCTGAATTTCAGAAATCTCTACAGCGAGAGTGATTTCTGAACAATTTATACTCTCGGCTCAAGCTGAGGAGCGTTCAATGTGTTCAGATGCACAAGGTCTTTGCTTCCCTCAGTTCAATATTATTTTACTTTCTGACACAAATGAGAGAGGAAGTGGTGCAAAAGAGAGAATGGGTGGCAGTCCTCCAACAGAAGTGACACAGTGTAGCCTTTACAAAGCTGTTTTATACCATAACTATGAGATAGTTGGCTTAGTTTCCTGTGAAAATGAAGGTTATGCTGTGAGGTCAAGGTTGGTTACTGAGCTTATTTTAAGTTGTCAAGTAGCCTTACTTTCACTTTTTATGTTAATTGAATTTAGATTCTCTGTATTTGAAAGAGATTAAATTGATGTGCTGTAACGTACCAAAATACCTTGACCAGGTCAGGAAAATGTAGTTTGAAATATTTCTCTAAGTCGCGACTGTTCAGATATGTTTATTAAGTCATGCAGGAGTTGAGTAATGTGGGAGAGTTATGCGTTTAAGTAATCCGTCCCAACTTCTCCGTCTGTAGTTTGTAAGCACTTAAACCTTTGTGACAAGACGTTCCCCCTTTACTCCCATCAATATCGTGCAATATGCAAACTCTAGAGGTAGCTCCCTAAAAGTACACATACTGCTGTTTTTACATGTGCACTCCTGAAAATTTCTAGAGAATTTCAGGAGGACTGCCGCTGAAATCCTCCTGACCTGGTCATTCACACATGCATCTCACAGCAGGAGACTCTCCCTGTCAGACGGGAGGGGGGGCAGGGGGTCCCAAGGTAAGATGTGATGTAAAAAGAACAACAAGGAAGTGAAAGGTAAAGCAACAAAGTCTGCTTTGTGACGCTATACTGGGAAAGAGCGGAGAAGAACATACTGTCACAACAAACCGTTTACAACAACTTTGGTGAAGGTGAGACTGTGATGCTGTCTCTGCTTCAATTCAAACATTAAAATGCCCTGTGGAGGAACGTACTGGAGGACGTCCAATCAGTGCACAGGTGTTTTCATTCCTGAGTTTGATCTGCATCATGAGCTGCAAAAAACAACTTGGCTCTTTAACATTTCAAACTAAAGGTGGAGTTAAGTTCACGTTTGAGCAGCTGTCATGGATTCTAAATATTTTCTGTGGTTGCAGCTTTTGAAATCCATCTCACTTTATATTTGACTTTTTTTTATAAAGTGAGAGGGATTAAAGACTCCGGCTTTGGGAAGTAAAGACCAACAGGCCTGTGTGCTGCTGTGACCCAGAAATCAGAGCTCTGAGTAGTTGGTATAGGCCTCCGTTAAAGCCTGGTGACCTCGACGACGCAAACAGAAGCGATGCCACTTAGCCTCAGCCGGCTTACCACGACAAAACAAATCCATTATTCTTTTCTTTTCCCATCTGATCAAACATTTGTTAAGTCTCCTTAATTTATTCCACACTCTGAATCCCAGATGACACCGTCAGCCTTTCTGTCCTTAAATTCTTCTCCTCTTATATTCTGCAGATTAAAGCGGGTACTTACAAAGAAACCACATCAGTACTTATATTTAGCGAAGTGGCAAAGCCAAATTCAATGAAGCACATACAGTTTATCATCCATTTCAAATAGTCTGAGACCCTGTTCATGAGAGGAGCCTTGTGTCGAGGTCAGACTTCACGTTATAGGCTTGATATGGAACAATCAAGGCAACAACTGGGACGACTCATGACTTCCTGTTAAAAGTCCAGCAGACTGATCATCTGTTTGTTTTTTGTTTTTTTTACTGCCCTTTGCGATGTCTTTCTACGGTTGTAGTACCTTAATCGGTCTTGGTCACAAGACACGCCCCCCCCAAGACATTATTTTTCATTTATATTTATGGTCTTCGTCTCGTCAAGGTCTCCCACTTCCTTAGTCTTGGTCTTGACTCTGTCTCGGTCACAGACTGTAAATATTAATTTTTGAAGCATCTGTTCCTGCAGGGGGCGCTGGACGCTCATCGGCAGCAGCCGCCATATTGGAAATGCTGTCTCAGTCTAACTTTCAGTCAACCTAACGACAGGCTGAGAGCTGGAGCTGAGGCGGGTTTTAAGCCTCCTGACAAACCGTTACACCGCGCCCACCTGTCAATCAGGTCAGCTACACGCCTAACTATGGATAACATGAATCATTCATAACATCAAAACGGAGCCATATATTTATAAAAATATCAGCCCCCGTACAGTGAGGACAATAACTAATCAGACCTATTTTTTTTATTTTTTTTGTACTAGGCTGTAAACATGTTTATTTATGCTGTAAAAACGTCTTTTTGCCTGTGGTGTGTATGTGACTTCCTGTGAGGCTCCTGCAGCCAGCCTCAAGCAGACACTCACACTCAAAATAATTACATACAGGAAGTAATCAGTCCTTCTTTTGCATGTATTACTTATGAAAAGATCACTGATCAACTTCTCACACGGCAGGTGCAATGATGACGACCCATGGGAGTGCAGCGTTGATAGTGGAGTTGATTGGATGGGCGTTTCTCAAAGAATCTACAAGTACTAGTTCTTAAGGTCTAGCAATTCACTGGTTGGGAGAAGCCATGGCCTGAATGGAGCCCGCTGTAGTCTACTAAATTATTTGGCAGTGTTTTTGGTATCACTGAGGATTCTGTGTAAAACAGACGAGCCTTCACAGACCATGTTCTCCTGAACTTTTGTGGGCTGCCTCTGGCTCCAAAGAACATTTGCACGTAATTGGGAATTGGCTTGTTGAACTCATAGCGACAACATCTTAATACCTTTCTGCCTTTTGCATCTTTTTTTTTGTGCATGCATTCTTTGTGACCTGCTCCTCTGTAAACATCCCTCTGGGTCACAGATTGTCACCCAGATGTTTCTCATTTTTAAGTGTGCTGTTGTGTTTACAAGGACAACACGGCGGACACACTTTGTTTTATCTCTATCTTGATTGACAGCCTCCATTGTAGTCTACTGTCAATTATAAGCAGCCAACCAGTGAAGTCGCCCCCTGCTGGAAATCAGAGAATGCTAAAAGGTAAATGGACTGTATATTGATACCATTTTCTAGCCTTCTAACCACCCAAAGCACTTTAACACTACATGTTAGATTCACACACTGATAGCAGAGGATGCTATGTAATGTGCCCATCAGTATGAACTAGTCCACTTCATGCACATTCACATACTGCTGACAGCACCTCCTGAAATGATCTACATATTTTCAGGAGTGCATGTGTGAAAACGGCTTTTGTTGTGATGTAACTGAAGCCTTCATCTTTAGCAGATGTGACGATCTGCCTTCATGCGATCATGTTTGAAATCCAGACATTCACAGCAGGATGGATTTCTCAGAAGTGTTCCCTTCCCGTCCTTGCCGAAAAAATAAACACGTTGTCAGGATTATTATTTTTTTTTAGCAGCTTCCTCCAGCTGACTTCATCCTCACAACTTTGAAGCACTCTCATGCGTTTGCTTCACAATTAGAAGAAAAAAAAAACGACAACTATGAAATAGGTGTTAATATTATCACCCTTGCTCACAGGTGCTTGTCAGAATTATTGTCACAAACAAACAGCTGATAACTGTGAAGTCAAGCACCCATTGTGTTGTAATCCCCGCGTATATCTCACAGAGCTGCGCACCGTTTAATCACCCACTTGCTCGGTTTATTCACCTTAAATGAAAGCGACGAATATCTACCTGCCAAGACACTCACACAAATAATTTAATGCACCAACAAGCGGACATTTTCGGAACATAAAACCTGTCTGCTCCAACACAAACAGGCCCCCTATGCGCCGTGACTCAGTGATTACCGCCTGCAATATTTCTCAATCACCTGAGCTGAGATCCCGAGGCGCTCATATGCACAGAGACAGGCAGAGCTTAGAGAGCGGCGGAAAGGAGGAAAGGGAAAAAGCTAAAAGAGGGATGAGCAAAGAGAGAGAGACATGCATGTCTGACCTGCATGCCAAGTAGCCATTTTTGTACCCCCCCCCCCCCCCCTCTCAGTCACAGTTCGCCTTGCTCCCTCTCCAGCCCAAAAACACACACAACACATGTGCACTGACTCATAAGCTCACACACACACTTCTGTCATGCATTCACACTTTTTCACATTTTTCACATGCATACATGAACACACATCACTGCGGCAGCACAGACACACCTGGAACACACCTGCCTGCTTGGGAGCAAATGGACCCTCCCCTAAAAACACACACACACACTCTTATTGCACAGAAAGGGAGGAGATATGCCGTCACAAACACATGCTTCCACACACATTAAGAAGATGCCGACACACAAACACACACACTTCATCCTCCTCTACATCATCGTTCATGCAGCAGAAGATGAAGGCGTCATGGCAGCAGCACACAGGAAACGTCTCAGCTGAGGATGCAATGACGAGGTTAAAGAGAGTTACCGTTGCTACTTAATGAGCACGTCGGCCGCCTGGCGCATCCTCCCGCTCCACACGCCTCCCTCTTTCTCCTCCCCCCTCTCCATCTTTTTTTTCTCCACTGCAGCTCTGTGTCTTTCCCGCGCCCTGAGGATCCGCCAGAGTCCCCCTCGCTGGTACCCGTAGTAGCGCCTAAGAGGCTGTTAACATCTCTTCCTGTCTCCTCCTCCTCTCCTAGCCTCTCTCTCTCTCTCTCTGTCTCTCTCTCTCTCTGTGTTGCTCTCTCTCTCTCTCTCACCCTCTGTCTGTCACTCTCTCTCGCCCCTCGTCCCTGTTGACATAGAAAAAACACCACCCTCCCTCCTTCACTGTGTCTCCACTCGTTCTCTCTCCTGCTGCTGTTGCTGCTCACACAGTACAGCGTGTGCCTCCCCTCCAGAGCCCAGGCACTGCCAACCATATGATATCACTCAGTTGCCTTATATGGGAGACAGCGGGTTGCCATGACGACAGCAGACTCCACCTGTTTCTACATCTCTCTCTCGCTCTCTCTCTCTCTCTCTCTCTCTCTCTCCCTTTGCTTCTTCTCTCTCGTTTGGTCTCAGTGCACCTTTTTGGCCAGGAGATAGATGGAGCGCCTGAGGTAAATAGACGTGGCACAAGAGGAGCAGAGAGGAGGTGGAGAAGGAAGGAGGAGAGACAAGAGAGCAGCTGACTGAGACGTGATGGACACAAGCTGACAGAGGAGCAAGAGACAGAGACGGAGCACTTAAAGGAACAGCTCAACACTTATTAGCACTCTAAGTGAGACACAGAGAAATTAGATTTAGTTTCTCTGGGAACGGGTTCGGATCAGACCTGCAGCTACTTTCCCCGCATGTCATTTCCCTCTCTCCCGCTCTCTCTCTCTCTCTCTCTCTCTCTCACTCTCTCTCTCTCTGTCTCCCTCTCTCTCTCTCTCACCCTCATTTCTGACTCCACTGTCCTGTCCCTCCAATAAAGGCTTAAAAAGCCCAAAAATACATTTAAAAAAAATAAAAAATACAGTTTATTTGCAAGCGATGTCATGCCTGACTTTTAAAAAAAATACGATATTGAAGGTATTGAAACAGGTATGAACATTGTTTGTCTTTTACCATCATCATTATCAAAGTTTAAAATCTGGAATCGTTACATCCCAGTAACAACACCTTGAAATAAAGCTTTCTTAAAAGACATTTTACATTTTATGAATTTTACATGTGCAGGAAAGAATGAGGTCAGGACTCCTTTTTTTGTAATTGTAACATAAAATCGGTGATCATGGGGGGCGCTGGTAGCCTAGTGGTTAGTGCGTGCCCCATGTATGGAGGCTGTAGTCCTCCAAGAGGGCGGCCTGGGTTTCAAACTCCTGGGGTCTCCTGGGAGGAGTTCTGTGTTTGACCCATACTACCAACCCATCCTCCTATTTTTGCAGACTTCTTGTACAGTACTGTATCCACTGACTTCAATAGGACACTAAAACCAAGGAAGTACCTTAAGAGTCATACTTCAAAGCGTTGGACCATCGATTAAGCTGCCATATTTGAAACATTTGACCTGTTCAGGCTGCAGAGACGTGAGCTCATCCCAGTCAAGAAGATAAAGTGAACAGATTTGCCCTGAATGTTGAACTATTCCTTTAAGGCTGCATAAAGAGGATCTGAAGCAGGCTGTTGTGCTCCGACCATCTGTCACAGGTATCAGAGCACGTGGTGATTGATGGCAGAATGAAAAGGAAGAGAACAGCGAGCGGAGAGAGACAGAGACGTGATGGAGCGCTGCATTTCATATTACACATTCTGACGTTTCCTCACTGTCTCACCTAAACTCTTTCTCCGTTCTTATATCGCCGTCTCTTTCACATGATAACCACTTAAAAAAGCGGCCATTATTGACCCAGGAGGCCGGTCATGAAAATGCCTCCGCTGTGTGCGTCTGACGCCCCAGAGGCATCTCGCCACATAATGCGCTCGTGTGGGTTTCCGAGCCCTGTTCCCAATGGCCTGTTATTATCTCCCAGGAAGAAAATGTTCACATGTGGAAACAGAGAAAGCACTCAGAGAGCTCAAACTACCCCCAAGGCTGCACTCTGCTCTCGATTTGTTATTGTATGGAAGTCCTCATCTGCATCAGCGTACTGACAGTGATGGAGAATCTTGGAGTATAGATCTTTCATGAAGGGGTGCAGCCGTACAGAAATAAACGATTTCTTAAGGTTTTGAGAAGTTTTTTTTGAGAACGTACTCAACACTCTTAAATACTCTACTTAACTAAAATCTTTGTTCGGTGATTTCTCTTTACTCCATCGTTATCTTCACAGTGAAAAGCTGCACAGGATTTGAGAGAAGTCGTGAAACTGAACAGCAAGTTTTATGAGACAAATGTGAGTTGATTGAAGAAGAGCAGACAGGATTTATTTGTAAGACATGCACCTGTATGCATATCCATTTAAATTATGATCCATATATGCCCTGTGAAGAGTGGGACATAAGGTCAAGGTATCAGAGCAGAAAATAATTAACTTTTTGTCATTTCATTCCTGGTTCTTGTTTGACAACACTGTCAGCATTTATCCAACATAAACAGATACTACAGGAGTTGGGGCTCCGGCGGCCTAGTGGTTAGTTTGCACGCCCATATACAGAGGGTGTGGTCCTCCAAGCGAACAGCCCGGGTTGGAATTCGACCTGTGGCTGCTTTCCTGCATGTCATTCCCCACCCTCTCTCTCTCCCTGATTTCAGACACCAAACACTGTCCTATTACAGGAGTCACTGCTAACAGTTTTTTATATGTAACATCGACCCCATAAAATATAAAGACACTTTACAAAGTTTTTTATTTTTTTACTTCTCTTCTCTTAGCGTTCTCTTGAAGTGGAGGCGTGTTTACAGCTAAGTGGCAGCATGCCTTGAATATGTTGTTGAAAGTGGAAGCAGTTGAGAAGTGAGTTGAGTGAGGAGGAAGCACAACAGCTGCAGCAAGTACAGTTTGACTCTCTTTTCTTGCATATGTCGAAGTCTTTTACTGTAGGTTAGGTTTTACTGATATAGATGTTGTATTATTGTGCTGTACTGCAGGCACAGAACCCGCTTCACAGTCATGAATGAGTAAAAACTGTTCTAATATCAGCACCTTTGATCTATATTAGTATGCATGGTGTTTCTGTTGGTATTCTCAGAGGACTGTGTGACTCTGTGACAAGTTGAAGTAATAAGGAATATCTGACATGATTAAGGGACGGTGATGGAGCGTCCGATAATCACCCGGCCTCGGGAGGATTCTTGGAAAAGTGGAATAATCAGACTTCAGGTCAGTGTGAGAGTCGTCTGCAGTTATCGTTCATGATTTAAGTAACAAGACGAGCCCGGTCACAAAGACAAAGAGTGAGGCAGCGTGCTGTTCAGTTACCTGTCGTCCAGCAGGAGTGGAGCCCTGCGACAGGCTGCCCGGGCTGTTGGTGTACTTGTTCTTCTGGAGGTCCATGAGGGCGTCTCGCTGGCGTTCGATGTCCGCCTTGTGGATGCTGTTCAGCGCCTCCAGGCTCTTGGCGGCCACCGAGTTGTGCCGGCGGTCCAGCGAGGACGACGTGAAGCCCCCGTTGCTGTTGTCGGCGAACCGCCGGGCCCCGCGGCCGCCGCCGGCAGCCAGCGTGTGGTAATCCCGCGGGAACTCGGCATCACCGGCAGAGATCATGGGACCCTTTCTCTTCTCTCGACCTGCAGCGGATTGGGGGTGTAGGGGCGGGGGGTGGAGAGTAAAGGAGGATGAGGTGAGAGATCTACACATGTTTTTAATCGCCTGTTAAATCACATTCTAGTGTTGGAATTTGTTAAAAGTTTATGGATGTTCCAATGTAGCACTGCGACAATCAGAATTAAGTTAAAATGGTTTCAGTCAGTTTGGTCCAAGCTCCACAAATATCAGAATGTACAACTTGTTTTTTGTCTCCTGGTCTGTGAATCCTGCACATATTGTCAACAAGACTCAGGCCATGTATGCAAGAAGGACATCCAGCTTCAATGTTTGAAACATTTGTTCCCATCCCCTAAGGAAAGATGTGATATCTACTTAATTTGTTTTGCAGATGTTGGTCCTTTTAGGACCTGATTTGCATGTGTAGGTGACCATCAGGGGTGTACATATATGAGAGAAAAAAACATTTATTTAGATCAATTTTAACTTGAAGTATGGTCGCCAAATAACCTTTGGGTGCTTGGATTATAATCGACAGGAGAAAAAGCTAAATGAGCACATGGATAAGGTTGCAGTGCTTTACGTTGCTCATCTCAGTGTAGGTATGTTGAGATGCCAGGTCTCCATGCACATTCAAACCTCTGTGGATGATCTATCACAAGGGGAGAGGGAGAGAGAGACAGCGCAGCGGTAGGCGATCAAGCAGAGAGAGAGAGAGAGAGAGAGAGAGAGAGAGAGAGAGAGAGAGCGCTGTGAGTGCTGTGGTATTGAGACTGGTATTGATACGATTGATATTTTAGATTTTTTGAATTTTTGCTTTTTTGTCTTTATTTGATGGGACAGTGGATATAGTAGGAAATCAGCAGAGAGAGAGAGAGAGAGAGAGAGAGAGAGGGGGGAATGACATGTAAAGGTCAGTTTTGAACCCAGACCGCCCACATGGAGGACTATAGCATCCATACATGGAGCCCGATTTACCTGCCAGGCCATCTGCGTCCCTTGAATGTTGTTGTTGTTGATGATAAAATAATATTTACATCCTGAGCTTTGCCTCTGAGCGCTGCCTGTCAGCATTGTGCTTGTCTTGTACTCACTCTCAGAAGTTCGCTGGCTAAATGAATTGAAACTGTAGCTGAATAATGGTTATATCAGCGCACACACTGTTTTGTGTAAACACACAGAAGTTAACTGGTCAGACCTGGAGGCCTGTTGAGCGAGCATCAGTGAGTGTTAATGTGACGACAAATAACGCTCCAGCAGTTACACATGTTTGTACGGATTCTGTCCTAAAGCAACTTGTGCTCCATTTTAATGTCTCCCAGAAAAACTGCTCTCTGTTTGTCTCTCCACACATAAACAACTGACACACACATACATGACAACACCACTAAGACTCAAACACACCTCTAGCAATGTAGAGCATGGGTGAAAACAGCTGCAAACATCTGTCTATTCCAACCACTCTGACTGTCTGAGCCCCGAGGCAAGAAAATAAATAAATAAACTGTTGCACAGAAACGTCGCCTGTTACTATGTGACAGCAGCAACACCTCATATTTGTGTCAAAATCAGCAGAGGGGATGTGACATAAAGAGAGGAGCTGTGTTTGTATGAGGACAGGTCTAGTGCCATCTTGTGACCAGTGAGACATAAAGCACCTCAGACCTGCTGAAGGTGAACAGGTACAGGTACTGTTCTCAC